TCCCTAGGGGCCTGATAAGAAAGATCTGTGATGCTATGAAGTTTAACAAAATCCTGAATCTCAGCCCAGCTAGTCTCTTTGAAAAGTTTGGGTAAGCTCCTGGACAGGATGACAAAAAAAATCTAGTAGACTTTTTTTTTCTCTTGTGATGGTGCCTCCAAATCACTTTTAAGGCTCATCTATGTCAGCTCTTACGTCATGAAGCTTTGTTAGTCCCATTTTTTTTTAAGAGTATTGTGATCTCCATCTCATTTAAATTTCTTTCAAGTATCAGTCAGACTTGAGACCTCATTCTTAACCTTAGCATTTTAGTTTGTCTTCTGGTTTGATGTCATTTTCCTTTTCACAGAGAAATTAGTTTTGTGGGTTTCAAGCAACACATTTCTAGTGCTGTATTTTTCGTTTGAGAAGTTTCTGCATTGTGGCATTTCAGTAACAAAGCACAATTGTTTTGCTCTGAAATTGCTGTGATATTCAAATGTAGAAGCAAGTGACTTTGTAAAACTTTGTGCTTGTTTGCAATAAGCTTCTTCCTTAAATTCAAGATCCAATAACATATGATGTAGATATAGCATATTTAAAGTTGAGAGTTTCCAAGGATTCTTTGGGTTCCTAGTTCTCTTTTTTATTTCCTGCATTAGCAATTAGCTTCTATGCCTATGTATCTCTGCAGAGAGTTTCTGCTGGGATTCTCTGCCTTGTAGCTGGCATCCTTCCTCATGACATGGGCACATTGCTTCCAGCCTAAGAAAAGCTTCATGGCCACTGCTCATTTTAAGACTAGGTTGAATAGAACAGTAATTTTCCTGGTTCTGGTAATTCTGGGTTGAGTATATTCTGGCAACCTCTAATTACTTTATTGCTCCTCAGCTGCTGTTTCCCAGTCATTTCATTTTTCAGAGGATAACTTTTTTTCCAGTCAGATTCAGGCATTGCTATTTTATTTGGGGGAGCTTCAGTGTTTTTACAGCTTAATTACTTTCAGCTTTCTACCTCTCTTTAGGTCATTTTAGAGATTATACAAAACTGAAAACTTATTTTCCATACTTCCTGAACTGTTTAATGGCACATTGTCCATACTTGAGCAATTTCCAAACCAAGGTTCACTGTGCTTTTAGGAATTCTGATTTTTCTGGCCAAAATTTTCTGATTTTTCTGTTTTACTATAATCTTAGAGGCAACCCATATATAAATTAGATTTTCTGTTAATTTTAAATGGCTGTAATTAAGGAAATACACATGGGAGATATGGACTTTATACACTTTGGCAGCAGGTCTTACAATTATTGAGCCTTTGCAGAAAATAAATTATTTTTTTTTCTCATTGCTATTTGTAAATTTCCTGGAGTTATGAATGTTGATTTCATCCTTTGTAGAAATGTCTCCTATAGCTCTGAATCTTGACTTGATGCCCAGATGCCAATTTTTCTGAGTAGTTATAAAAATTGACTTGAAAAGCCTGTCTTGCAGAGATGTCAGATATTTGACTGGCTGACTGGCAAAATGAATGAAGGTATATTATTTTCCTTTGTGGTATCATGCTTTTCTGTCTGATTCTTAAAATAATCTATTCCAATTCCTGAAGAGTCTTCTTTCTATTTTCATAAAAGAAATGGCAGTAGCTGAGTTATAATGAAAGGCCAGCAAATGAGTAGGTGTACAGTTTCACCTTTTAGTGGCTGGAGGGTAGAAGAGGTAAGAAATCTACTACTAAGGAATAACAACTAATTATGATTTTCTTTAGCTCGTTAAGCTGAAACCTGTATTTTTCATAGGATTAAATTCTAATCCTAGGTCTGCATATTTATGTTTGAGATCTATTTAACTGTCTATCTGCAAACTTGATTTTTTGCAAAAGACCACTAATCTTTATCTTGCTACAAAAGTTCTTTATGACTTTAATCAGTTTCTTGTGTCGTGCATTTTTTATTACACCCTGTGGTGCAATGGAGAAACTTTTTTTTCCTTTTGTTGAACCAGAGGCATTTTGGCTGGGGTGTTTCCTCATAAATTCTTTTAGTAAGATGCCATCTAGCTGTTTTTAATTTGTCTTGGCTTCACAGAAGGGTCTATAGGTAGTACTTGGTAAAAGGCAAGTCACTGTCATCCTTGTAGAGATATAGAGGTGTGGCACAGGGTGATCCCATGACTTTCTAGTCTCTGGGAAATCAGTGGATACTTTGAAAATTCAATTTAGACAATCTGAGCTATCCAGGGCTTGGACTATGCTTTCTTCCAAGTGTCATGGAGCTTCTCTGCTGGGATCATCATTTCAGAAAACCTCTATTCTGTGAATATAAGAGAGTTCCTTGCTACAGAGTAGTTAGATGTAATCCCTCTTGGGGCTTCATGGACAACTTCTTCTGGACAGGCTACTCATGACTACTTCAGAAAATCCAACACAAAGTCTAACCCTGATCCACTACAGTGTATGTAATATAGAATCTTGGGATAGTTTAGTCAAAAGGGGCCCTGGAGAACATCTAGTCCAAAGTACTACTCAAACATGGCTAACTTCAAATTTTTAGGGTGGATTGTCACTATTCATTCTTAATGCTTAAAACAATAGCTTTTTAATATATTCTGCCTAACCTTTGTGAGAATCCCTCAATTAAAAGGTTTAATTATGCAAAATGTAAAGAAATGTGGCCATTTATTAAGCAGGAAGAAAAATAAACAAAATATTGATGTCTAATATTTTTTAATTATAGGAGAATATTTGTGAATTTAGATTCAGATAGAATTATTGTAAAAATCCATGTCATCACCAGTTTAAAACAAAAGCTTGTCATCAAAATTTAATTATTTCTGTAATTCAGCATGATTTAAAAAGAATTTACAGTGATTTAAGTGATGAAAGTGAGAGTTAATTTTTTTTTTTCCCTCTACATGTCAGGAACACTAAATGTATTTCAGAATAATTCATAATGTCATTTTTTAGTTCTCTGCATTAAATTGTAGTATGGCTCATCTTGAAATAGACGAAATACAGCATATACTGTATTTGGAACTTACTCCATTGCTTTATATTTATTATTGGTTGCTAAAGTATATATAGTTGAGTACTTTTCCATTTATATAAGAAAATAACTGATTTTTAATTTAGGTTTTCGTTTTTATTTCCAGGGATTGGATTTTGCAGCCTTCACAGGACATATGTTTGTTGGCATCTGCCTTGTTGTTCTGGTCTCCTTTCCTTTTCTCAGACTTCTTTACTGGAACAAAAAACTTTACAATAAGGAGCCAAGTGAAATTGTCGGTAAGTGTGAGTGTGAAAACGTTTTTATTATCACTACATTGAATATGTGCTAAATAGAAACTGAATAGTGCCTACTAGTGCCTCAGATGGAAATGCCCACTCTCCTTCAGCCTCTGAACATTACTTTTTCAACTAATAATTTAAATTTTATTTTCAGGCATGATATTTTCTGACTGTCAGAAATTAATGTTTTTCTGGTGCTAAGGTTGAAGTGTTGACATTAATTATTTAATATCTTTCAAAATTTTAGGGATATTTTGCATCATTTATAGCCATAGGCTTGAACACCTGGGTGTTCTGTATCACGATAGATAACATCTGCTCAAGGTGCTGAGTTCATAACCTAGCTTTAGAAATATCCCAGGTTTTCCTTATGATAGGCATAGGACACTGACACATTCCCTCACTGCTGGTTTTGTTCCGCTGGATTTTTTCAGGTATCTTTTCCTGGCTAAGTATAAAGTAAGTTCCTACCTGTTCTTCACAGGGCTCAAGAATGAGTATCCTTTGTGCAGAAGTCATCTCTGGGAAAGGAATTATATTTTTGTTGGGGAGGAAGGGGACCCTTACAACCTGCCAGATAAAGCCCTTTGTAATTATGCATCATTATAAAAAAATATTACTTTTCTTTGTTGCCTGGAAGTTTATTATTAAATAATTGATATTCAACATTTTTCATAACTTCACAACTTTCTTATTTAAAGATAATTATTTTGCTTTTATTAATTTCTCATTTTCTAATAAAAGTCATAGATTAATGGACATTTCCAGGAATAACTAGAGTTGTTATGTACTTAAATTATCTTTAAAAGTGCTAACTTGCAAGATGTCTTGAGATAAACAGTCAGAAAATACATTCTGCCAACTGTGAGCAATTTTGATCCTGACATAATAGCATTATTTTGTGAATATACATTTTAGAAAATAGAATTGTTATATTTCTCATCTATAAACTTTGAAAGTATATGTTTTCAATTTTTAAGAAAGCAAGTAGGCAAAACAATTTTTTCATTAATTTGAATAGTACAATTTTTTCACTGACATTATATTTTTGCTGGTGAAACACTATACACTTCTAAGCAGCTGGCACATTTCCCTCAATTCATCAAAGTAATCTTTGTTACTTGCAGTTTAGTATGTTCAGATATAGCGGTCTCTCAATCGGTATACCATGTGTTCTTTCTTATAATCAGCTGCTTGTCCATTGCTGTGAAGCTAATCAGTAGCTGTTCAATTAGAGTTAGTACTGAAGCGCTACTTTTTCTATTGAAATTTTCAGCGAAAGGGGAAGAGAAAGCAACAAGCACAGCTCCACTAGGAGGTGCCTATCATGTTTTGGATTTGCAGAATGTGCTCCAAGGTGCTTTCAGGCATCCTTCCATCTCAGGTTGCAGTGATTCTGTGATAACTTCAAATAGCTTGTTTGAAGCAGCTGTTTTAATCAACTAAATACCACCCTTCCCCCTCCTCAGCCTTCCCCCAAATAACAATTAAACAAGATACGTGAGACTTAATTGGTATATTATTCTCCCCAGAATTTTTGCACTGTATGCCATGTGCTTTAAGCTTTTTTTCAGTTTCTTTGGGCTACACAGATTATTGAGAATGGATAAGCACTAGTTATAAGAACAGACAATGCTGTTATTCTAATGATACCTTGGCAGAATAGTTCCAGTACTGTGTGTTACCAGTATCTAAATTGTTGGCTTTCAGGTTGAGCTGTAGCACCTGTGCAGCAGAAAAAATGCACATTCCTTCCCCATGAGCCACTATCTACCTCCTATACCTTGAAGTGGGGCATATGACAAAAGAAAAAAGAAGCTGAAGAACTTAGCCATGAGAGAGAAAATCAAATTCTTTTTAAGAATGAAGGGATAGTTTAAGGACTTTTTTGAGCATCACTTTCAGCTGATAAACTTGTGCCTTGTTCTGTGTGATGCAGAAAAATATGCTAGGACTAGGGTAGTAAGCCGAGAAGGTTTAAAAAGTAGATATATACTTTCCAGAAATAATATGTAAGGGGAAATAATGAGTGTAAGAGGAATTAAACTTGCTGTTCCCCCTGCTATCCCAAAACTTGAAACCCAAGGGTTAACCTCTTAAGGGTTACCAATGCATTATTTAGTCCCCAGGAAGTGTGACAATACACTGTTATGCCTCAGCTATCAAGCTGTGCAAATGCACACATCAGTGTTTGGGAAGGTTGCTATCCCCAGGACAGTGGGTGGCACGTGGTCTAGTGACAAGTATTATTATTGCCATTTTTGACAAAGATGAAGAGATTTCTCTTAGCATAACAACTGATCAGAACCAGTTCCCCCTTTCTCCTGTGTTGCTTGCTCCAGTTCCTGATTGTTTCACTGGCTGAAAGAGACACCCACCGTTGAAGCAAGAGTGGTGATCCCTGGAGAGGAGGGAACATGTTACTCCCTCTACTGTAGTTCATTGTCTGCAGCAGCTGGAAAAATGCTGCTATGGTAGTACGATAGTCAGTATGTAAAGCCTACAACAGAAGGAATTTTCAAATTAATCATAGTCATGTGTTAAAGTGCTTAATGTGTGAAAAACACAGCGCTGTTTCCCACAACGTGAAATGTGGTAACCAGATGAGTGAGCAAATCTGTTTCTTTCTTCCATGTGGAGCTTTACAGCTGCTTCTCTAAGAGAAGAAATGGGAGAGGAGGAGGGGAAAAAGAGGTATAAAATTGCTAGTGAGAAGGTAGAATGTCTAGAAGAGGAAAGAAGTAGGAGAGCAATAACTGAGGGTTGTCAGACGTGCAACCAATAGGACTGTTCTGGCTGCAGACCCAAGATGTCCAGACATTTTTCCTGGACTCAGAGTAAGTATTTCTCACATGAGGCCTCATTTTGCCTGAAAATGTCCAAAGGATGACACAGCTAAGGTGAAGATCAAGAGAGAAAACAGGGTAAAACAGAAAAATTAATTTAGCACTTAATGTCTGGTGAGTTTCCCCCTCTGTGTCCCATAGTGACTACAAATGACTACTTTGTGCTGCACATACTTGACAGAACACAGGCATTGTCAACTGTAATCGTAGCTGAACACAAGGTGTAGCGCAGTGCTGCCACTAAAATCTTGTCCATGTGAATCACCTTGCCTGTTGCAGCTCTGAGATGCCTGCCTGGGGGAATGGTCCCCAGGGCAGATGCCCATGGTTAAAGGGTTAACAGCTTTGTTGTTTTCTCAGGGCATGGGATGTCCTGGTGGCCTCTGCATCCTCTAGGAGTGGTGCATGCCCTGATATTATACCCTGCAGTGTGACATACAACCTTTTAGATTAATGCTGGGGAAGAACTGCTGTAAGAACTTGCAAGACAACCCCAATGCTACTTCAGAAACTTCAAACTGAAAAAAGCCCACATAAAATAACAATAGTATCCAGGTATACAAGGACATTGCAGGGGCACAGAGGGGACCCAGGGTAAGGTGTTACGTAGCATCGGTACAGCTACCTGTGCTGCTCAGGGTTAGAGAACAGTCCTTAGCCCTATTTTAGTTAACAACACATTTGTAACCATAAAAACCATTTCTTGCTAGAATCAGTGAGACCATCAAGTACCTAGCTGGATTAAGTACATCAATAACGGTCAATCCCGAGGTGTGTCTGTACCTATCTAGGTACTTCACTAACTGCCATTAAAGCACTATTGGTATTTTAATATGTGTTGAAAGTAGTTGGCTGTCCTCACTTGAAAGCTGGTTCAGGTGAGAAAACCAGCAGGCAGATTATGCAGAGAATAATGTCCAAAGAAAGGAATATTTCAACATATTTTCAAGCATTCAAGTCCAAGCTAAATCTGGATGGCAGTTTTGCAATATGCATTGCATTCTACTGTCCTCACCTGAGATGCTAAATTCGTGGGAATTTTTTTAAATATATTAACAGTGAATAGTTTAACTCTCCTACTGTCGGCCATAGCATGCTAAACTAAAAGACGCAGCTTTCTTATGAATTGTCTTGGATCTAAGATCATACTGTTCTGGTACATACTGTGTCTTTTATTTTAAAGAACAGTAATACTTTTCAGTCTCAGAGGAACTAGGTAGTCTTATGGTCCCTGCAAATTTCATGTGTACTACATCAGGATCCACCAGGGTCATGGTTTTATTCTTGAAAATGTAAAAAAAAACCCCTCTCTGTTTTATTGTTTGCCCCTTCAATAGCTCTTCTAATGATCAGGAATGAAAATAAATGTAGATATTTACACAGATTCAAGATTTTTATATTTTTAAACATTTTAGATAATTTTATATTTAAAATCCTTGTATATGTCCTTCGTACTGCTTTAGAGTTGATGGAGTATTCCCCTTGGAAAGAGGAAAATGTCACTCTGCCTTTTCTTGTTTTCAGATTATAAAAAATAGTATTTGACAATGTAGAATAAGAGATATACGACAACCTCATATTATTTGCTTAATGCACTGATAATGTAGGCATCACAAGAAAGCAGCTGTAATATGACTTTACCTGCCTTATGCAGAAAGAAAGTATAACGCAGTGGCATTTTGAATCAATAGAGAAGTACTTCACAGTTTTATTATAGACATTTTTAATGGAAGGAATCAATACACGAGCTAAAAACTTACAAAGTGATACCTCCTGTTTCTTTTGCGCCTCGATTTTTGTATGCATACCACAATTGTGGAATGATTGTAGAGCTATACACCGGTTGGCAAGAGCTGGCCTTTTCGTTAACAGTGTTTTGGTAGAGCTATGGAAATTTTTTTTTCCTTTACTCTGATAGCTCTGATGCTCATAATATCTTCTTGAGATATCTTCTTCAGCTTCTTCTCAGAGCTTAAGAGAACAATTTAGGTTAATTTAACATGTTCTCTGTTTGCTGCAGAGAGCTTTCACTGTGAAGATATTTCAAGTAAGAGTGTAACCTTGCCAGGTTTTTAATTATTCCTGCCATTTTTATTTATCAAAATTATGTGAATTTATTAGTCAGATTTTTACATTTAAACCAGTTGCTAA